GGCGTGGAGGAGCCGGGGCGCCGCCTGACCCGCTGCCCGTCACAGTGATCCAGTATGGCTTCACCACCACCTTCGTGGCCGCCTTCCCGCTCGCCCCGCTGCTGGCGCTCATCAGTAACGTCGTGGAGATCCGCGGCGACGCCATCAAGATGGCCAGGCTGCAGCGGCGCCTGGTGCCGCGCATGGCCAAGGACATCGGTCAGGCCCCTTCCTGGGGCGCAGGGAGCGGGGCTGTGGCCTGGACAGGCCCGAGCCGGTCCCCCAGAAAGACTCGCTCTCGGCCATGGGGGTGCAAAGTCTCCCTACGCCAGCCAGCCCGCAGCCCTGGCGCCTCTGCCAGGGAGGGCCAGCGCCTGCGTGGGCGAGGCCCCCGGGGTGAGGCCGGGCTCTAGGAGAAGGCTGCCGCGGGCGTGAGGGGCTCGTCTACAGCCAGGGCGGGGCAGGTGGCCGGGGCTGGGGTCGGGTGGACAGAGGGGTGCGGCGCCGGCGGGCGGAGGAAGAGAAATGGACTCGGGAGTGAGGCGGCCCGAGGACAGTTGGGGGTTCGGGTGGAAGGGGGGCAGCTGCGGGAGGCCGAGCCCCGCCCTTCCAAGCCAGGAGCAGAGGGACGCGGGCGGGCTGGGGCCGCCTGCCCAGGCCTCTTCCGAGTCGCGCCGCCGGGGCCGCCGCGGGGCCCGCAGGGTCAGGGCCCGCTCAGCCCCGCCCTCGCACAGGCACGTGGCTGCAGGTGCTGGAGACCATCGGCGTGCTGGCCGTCATCGCCAACGGCATGGTCATCTCCTTCACGTCCGAGTTCATCCCCCGACTCGTGTACAAGTACCACTACGGCCCTTGCCGCGGCGGGGCCCACCCGGAGGTCGAGTAAGGGGTGCCGCCACAGTTCCTGGGGACCCCAAACCGCCCCTTGGCCGCGGCGGCCCAGCCCCTCTGCAGGAAGGGCCCTCCCAGCTTGGGCCGGGTGGGAAGCGGCCTGGGCAGCGCCCGGGGCCTGCCCACAGAGCCCCTGCGGGGCCGCGCCCACACTGGCCGTGTCCCTCCTGCAGCTGCCTCACCGGCTACGTCAGCCACAGCCTGTCCGTGTTCGACACCAAGAACCTGCCGGGCCCCGGCGGGACACAGCGCACAGGAAACGTGACGGAGTGCAGGTGCGCAGCCCCCTCCCCGCCGGCACCCCCTGGACACCCGACCCCTGACCCAGACCCTGCCCGCCCAGGTACCGTGACTACCGCAATGCCCAGGACCAGAGCCTCTCCCCGCAGTTCTGGGTCCTCCTGGCCATCCGCTTGGCTTTCCTCATCCTCTTCGAGGTGCGTGGCGCTCCCCGCCCGGCTCCGCCCCCAGGCGCCGACGCCCCGCCCCAGGCGCCGACGCCCCGCCCCCAGGCGCGACGCCCCGCCCTCAGGCGCTGACGCCCGCCCTCCGCAGCACGTGGCCCTGTGCATCAAGCTCGTGGCTGCCTGGTTCGTGCCCGATGTCCCTCAGGCGGTCAAAAACGAGGTCCTGAAGGAGAAGTTCCAGGGGCTCCACAGCAAGTTGAGAAGCTGGGCCGCGGGGGCCCAGCAACGGCCCAGATGCACAACCGTGTAGGGGCCCAGGCTGGCGGAGGTGCCCAGCCGCACCTGCCAGCCGGCTGTGGGAGCCGCCCCTGTGCAGATGGCCTGCGTTCTGTGGTGCAGAAGCGCGGCCTGTTCCCTCCGTCGGGGTGACCCCACCACCGGTGGAACCAGGAGCCCTCGGGCCTGTCACCTGCAGGAAGCCGCCCACCCCCCCCCCCCCCCCCCCCCCCCCCCCCCCCCCCCCCCGCCTCACCCCACCCCACCTCCTGGCCAGGCCACCCTGTGCTGGCTGGGCGCAGCCAGCAGACTTTTCTGTAATAAAATGGGAGTGTTTTTGCGTAGTTTGGTATTGGTGGTGTGGAGACCCCCATGTCCTCCTGGGGTGGCGTGGGAACCTGAGGCCCTGCCAGCTGGGCTTGGGCCTGTCCTGAGCTTCGGAGCCCCCTTCCCGCACTGAGCTTCAGGGCCCAGGAGCCAAGCCGCTTCCCGAGGGAGGGGGAGGGGCGCAGCACCCCGCCTCCACAGGCCCCTGGGGGCTGGCTGAGCCGGTCTGGCCTTGCCGGGGGCCCAGGACCCGGCCGCGGCCTGGGAATGTGCCGGGTGTCTCCAGCGCTAGCCCGGGGCCCTAAGCGGGACTCGGCCCGCCCTCCGCGCCGGC